GCTTTCGGAGCGTGTGATTGGCTGAATGTGAGGTAGAAGAGTGCTTTCGGAGCGTGTGATTGGCTGAATGTGAGGTAGAAGCGTGCTTTCGGAGCGTGTGATTGGCTGAATGTGAGGTAGAAGCGTGCTTTCAGAGCGTGTGATTGGCTGAATGTGAGGTAGAAGCGTGCTTTCAGAGCGAGTGATTGGCTGAATGAGAGGTAGAAGCGTGCTTTCGGAGCGTGTGATTGGCTGAATGTGAGGTAGAAGCGTGCTTTCGGAGCGTGTGATTGGCTGAATGTGAGGTAGAAGCGTGCTTTCGGAGCGTGTGATTGGCTGAATGTGAGGTAGAAGCGTGCTTTCGGAGTGTGTGATTGGCTGAATGTGAGATAGAAGCGTGCTTTCGGAGCGTGTGATTGGCTGAATGTGAGGTAGAAGCGTGCTTCCGGAGCGTGTGATTGGCTGAATGTGAGGTAGAAGCATGCTTCCGGAGCGTGTGATTGGCTGAATGTGAGGTAGAAGCGTGCTTTTGGAGCGTGTGATTGGCTGAATGTGAGGTAGAAGCGTGCTTTCGGAGCGTGTGATTGGCTGAATGTGAGGTAGAAGCGTGCTTTCGGAGCGTGTGATTGGCTGAATGTGAGGTAGAAGCGTGCTTTTGGAGCGTGTGATTGGCTGAATGTGAGGTAGAAGCGTGCTTTCGGAGCGTGTGATTGGCTGAATGTGAGGTAGAAGCGTGCTTTTGGAGCGTGTGATTGGCTGAATGTGAGGTAGAAGCGTGCTTTCGGAGCGTGTGATTGGCTGAATGTGAGGTAGAAGCGTGCTTTTGGAGCGTGTGATTGGCTGAATGTGAGGTAGAAGCGTGCTTTCGGAGCGTGTGATTGGCTGAATGTGAGGTAGAAGCGTGCTTTCGGAGCGTGTGATTGGCTGAATGTGAGGTAGAAGCGTGCTTTCGGAGCGTGTGATTGGCTGAATGTGAGGTAGAAGCGTACTTTCGGAGTGTGTGATTGGCTGAATGTGAGATAGAAGTGTGCTTTCGGAGCGTGTGATTGGCTGAATTTGAGGTAGAAGAGTGCTTTTGGAGCGTGTGATTGGCTGAATGTGAGGTAGAAGCGTACTTTCGGAGCGTGTGATTGGCTGAATGTGAGGTAGAAGCGTGCTTTTGGAGCGTGTGATTGGCTGAATGTGAGGTAGAAGCGTGCTTTCGGAGCGTGTGATTGGCTGAATGTGAGGTAGAAGCGTGCTTTCGGAGTGTGTGATTGGCTGAATGTGAGGTAGAAGAGTGCTTTTGGAGCGTGTGATTGGCTGAATTTGAGGTAGAAGAGTGCTTTCGGAGCGTGTGATTGGCTGAATGTGAGGTAGAAGCGTGCTTTCGGAGCGTGTGATTGGCTGAATGTGAGATAGAAGCGTGCTTTCGGAGCCTGTGATTGGCTGAATATGAGGTAGAAGCGTGCTTTGGAGCGTGTGATTGGCTGAATGTGAGGTAGAAGCGTGCTTTGGAGTGTGTGATTGGCTGATGTGAGGTAGAAGGATCCATCCATATGTCTGCTCTTCTCTTTCTCCCAGACGTTTACATTTTTTAACGTTTTATGAGACATCAAGCGCATGCCAACTCGTATCCCGCTGGGTAGATCAGCACGTTACAACTCAAACTGTGCGCATCTACACAAACGCCAGTCAGTTCTGACTAGGGATTGGAATTGATAAGATTTTATCAATATCAATGCCACTAACGATTCTGCTTATCGATCCGATTCTTTAACGATTCTCTTATCGATTCCTGATAGCACTGTGTGGGAAAAAGTAGTCTTTTTCGGGGGAAAAAACAAGTGGTTTTATTTGTTTTAAAGCTTCCACTTGACTAAACAAACTGTACTTTTTATGTAATTTATGTAATAAATGGAACCTTATTGTACAGTGTTACCGATTAGTTATACACCGATTAAACGTCCCGTGAGTTCAGTGTTGGAAAGATCAGTTGTTTTACCATTCACTAAAACGAATCGGTTCAAATGAGTCATTAGTTCGCGAATTGGACGTGTCATTATCGGACGTGTGCCGGCGGTTGGGACATCCCACAAGATGTGTGTCATCTCATCACAGAAAACATTTCATCACTGGATCGTTTTTGTTTGTTTATTTGAAGTGTGATTATGTCAGCTGAATGTGCGGAACACTTTTCAGAGAAGATAAGGCAACGTATTTTAGCACAATTCACACCCAGCGGCAATTCAGGAAAAACAAATCTCCGAATGCTCCACATGAAACTTTAGTCTCCCGACCTTACCATCGTGTCGTTTATTTTGATTAATATGTGCGAGGGAGAGAGAGGAAGACAGCGCTTAGTTTTGAGACGGTGAAGCCTACTTTCGCCTTGCTCCGAAGAGAGAGAGTGCGCGTGCGCGCGCTCGACCGGCACTCTCTCTCTCTCTCTACTCGTTCAATTTAACATGCGCCCTGTCACAAGCGCAGCGGTTCATCTACATTACCAGAGAGAGACAATTTTATTTACCGATCAAATAAGCAGAGGTGGGAGTAAGTCACACATGTGCAAGTCACAAGCAAGTCTCAAGTCTTAACCTTCGAGTCTCAAGCAAGTCCAAGTCAATTTTTTATAAAAGCAAGCAAGTCAAGTCAAGTCACTGCCTTATGTCAAGCAAGTCAAGTCAAGTCATAGCTTGGGTCACAAGTCACTGGCAAGTCATATAAACGTTTGATGATTTCACTGAATTTATATATTAAAATAAGTTAAAACTACATAAGTTGTGGACTATGGTTTTATTTGCAACATATTTTTTTTTAAATATGCATTTCCACATACAGCTGAGTGGTTACTACAATACAAATCTAAAAAATAAAAAATAAATACAATTTCAAACTACATAGCCTAAAATGTAAATGTAACTGAAATTAGGCCAACATTAAAGCATGAAAAAATAAATATGCCTCAAACATTGCAGAAGACCATTAAAAGGTATTAAACAATTCACAATTCAAGTATAATGGTTCCTATGCCACCAAATGGCATTCTTCAAACTGGCATCCCCTTTATATAAGTTATATAACAGCCGTTGGCATTTAGCCTATTATGAAGTTAAAACCGCCAATAGGTGGCGCCAAATCACCGTCTTAATGTACGAGTCATAGAAGCATTCAGTCAACTGATTTGTTCAAAATGACAGATTCGTTCTGGAACTAAGCAACTAGGTCACTGAATCACAAATACGCATAACTCTTTCTGTGGCTTGTTTGGAACTATTGTCATTGGAGAAATAGAGCAAAAACAGAGAATATTTGGAATATTATGTCTAAAATGTCACATCACAATATTCACTCTTTGTTTACTGAACTGTTTTATAAAATCATCACATTTGCAATCGCGCCAATAATCTGGAAATATTTTTTTATATATGTTATAATTATGAAAATAACTCATACTAGGGCCATTTTTTCCACCACATTTTGAATTTTGGGTGCATATTAATTCTGCTGGCATTTTTTGCCACCAACCCCCTGATAACATTAAGAGAAACATAAACGACAAAACTAACAGTTTTCTATATTGTTTTTCGTCATTGGAAAAAACAACATTTTTGGCTTTAAAGCATGATTTAAAAAGAAATGTGGCAAATGTTATACAAAACATATACCATCACTAATTATCATTTGAATATTGACAACATTAAGCTACATTTGAAAACATAATTGTGTATAAAGAGGCATGCTGTTTTGACCAATATTATTCTCTCTAGATTTAAAGATAGTCAAATTAACTATAACAAACAGCTTAAACAAGCCATAGCTTACTTTTAGACGTGGTGAATGAAGTTCGACTGTTCGAGGTTGTGATGGTCGTCCGATGCGATATCCCTTGCCAGTTATTATGCGTACAACAAATCTTCTTGCATGAATATGGTCATTTTCTAGTGTTTATATCCAAAAAGAAACGATGCAGGGAGATGTTTTTGTATTTAGCGCGCTTACCGCGATGTAGGCTATTTCTGGGCTTGTGCAGCGTCACGCAATCGCGCAGAATCTGATGACTGACGTCAATGGTTCCGTTGCTTTCATTTTGTTTATCAATGGATGTTGCGATGATTTATATAAAAATGTATATCAAGTCATTCTCGAGTCATACAGTTCAAGTCAAGTCAAGTCTCAAGTCATTGGATCTCAAGTCAAAGTCAAGTCGAGTCATTTTCTTAATTTAGTCAAGCAAGTCTCAAGTCCTTAAATTTGCGACTCGAGTCTGACTCGAGTCAAGTCATGTGACTCGAGTCCCCCATCTCTGCAAATAAGACTTTGGCAGTACAAAAATTCGCTTTGGACGCCGTGCTATATGGTGCTTGATAAAGGACAAAAGGGACAGTTGTGAGTTCACGGTCTGTATACATACTATGGTTGACTCAGAGCAGGAGCATCGATAAGAGGACTCGTTAACGTCGAGGGCATACAATATCGATGGATCGTAAAATTTAGAACCGGTTCTCGAGTGGAACCGGTTTTCCATTCCCATCCCTAGTTCTGACTGGACATAGTTTTTGTCATTCAAAACTGTTTTTAGTTAGATATTGTCTCGGTTTCGTCTGTGAAAATATTTGTTAACAAAATTATTCGTCAATGAATTTAACACTGGTCTCAACAAATGTCAGTAGAGCGGGAAGATTTTAAAACGAGCCGTTCATTCATAAATACGCAAGATCACTGTGAAAATGCAGACCGGAAGTCAAAAGACAACGAGCGCAGCTGAAAAGGGGCTGTACTGTATATGGTCTATATAATGAAGGTTGTGAAATAATTGCCTAATATTAACTCTACTTTGGTGCTGTAATGATATTGCACATCACACGATAAACGACCTCATCTGAGCTGCTTCAGCGGACTAACAGCACTCGTCAATGTCAACAATAAAACATAAATAACAAAAACATAATAAAACACATAAAAATGTGAGCAAGAAAGTGCACCGCTATAAACAATGAAACATAAGCCCTGCTGTCTTCAAATAAATAAACTTCAGTCACACTGTAATTGCTGTACAGTATAATGACACTAACTGTAGTTTCTCCAGCTTGAATTGTGGGTTCATCAGTAGATCACTGAGGTTTTTCACTCCAGAGTCTCCTAGTTTATTCCTGCTCAGGTCCAGCTCTCTCAGGTGTGACGGGTTTGATTTCAGAGCTGAAGTCACATCAGAACAACCTTCATCTGTCATATCACAGCAGCTTAACCTACATTAGCAGAGAGAGAGAGAGAGAGAGAGAGAGAGAGAGAATGAAGAAAATAAGAGACTCTTTATTCTGTAAAGTCACATAACCTTCGTAAGCATTATTTGACCACATCACAAAATACTACGGTGAAAATGTTTGCAGAAATATAATGTGTATTTAGACTCATTGTGAGATATTGAGTATAAAGTGTTTTAGTTTAAACTTTTGATTCTTATATGTATGTATATATGGTATCTGAGGTAGAAGCGTGCTTTCAGAGCGTGTGATTGGCTGAATGTGAGATAAAAGTGTGCTTCCAGAGCGTGTGATTGGCTGAATGTGAGGTAGAAGCGTGCTTTCAGAGCGTGTGATTGGCTGAATGTGAGGTAGAAGAGTGCTTTCGGAGCGTTTGATTGGGTGAATGTGAGGTAGAAGCGTGCTTTCAGAGCGTGTGATTGGCTGAATGTGAGGTAGAAGTGTGCTTTCAGAGCGTGTGATTGGCTGAATGTGAGGTAGAAGAGTGCTTTCGGAGCGTGTGATTGGGTGAATGTGAGGTAGAAGCGTGCTTTCAGAGCGTGTGATTGGCTGAATGTGAGGTAGAAGTGTGCTTTCAGAGCGAGTGATTGGCTGAATGTGAGGTAGAAGAGTGCTTTCGGAGCCTGTGATTGGCTGAATGTGAGGTAGAAGAGTGCTTTCGGAGCGTGTGATTGGCTGAATGTGAGGTAGAAGCGTGCTTTCGGAGCGTGTGATTGGCTGAATGTGAGGTAGAAGCGTGCTTTCAGAGCGTGTGATTGGCTGAATGTGAGGTAGAAGCGTGCTTTCAGAGCGTGTGATTGGCTGAATGTGAGATAAAAATGTGCTTCCAGAGCGTGTGATTGGCTGAATGTGAGGTAGAAGCGTGCTTTCGGAGCGTGTGATTGGCTGAATGTGAGGTAGAAGCGTGCTTTCAGAGCGTGTGATTGGCTGAATGTGAGGTAGAAGCGTGCTTTCAGAGCGTGTGATTGGCTGAATGTGAGGTTGAAGTGCGCTTTCGGAGCGTGTGATTGGCTGAATATGAGATAAAAGTGTGCTTTCGGAGCGTGTGATTGGCTGAATGTGAGGTAGAAGCGTGCTTTCGGAGCGTGTGATTGGCTGAATGTGAGGTTGAAGCTTGCTTTCGGAGCGTGTGATTGGCTGAATGTGAGGTAGAAGTGCGCTTTCGGAGCGTGTGATTGGCTGAATGTGAGGTAGAAGCGTGCTTTCGGATCGTGTGATTGGCTGAATGTGAGGTAGAAGTGCGCTTTCGGAGCGTGTGATTGGCTGAATATGAGATAAAAGTGTGCTTTCGGAGCGTGTGATTGGCTGAATGTGAGGTAGAAGCGTGCTTTCGGAGCGTGTGATTGGCTGAATGTGAGGTAGAAGTGTGCTTTCAGAGCGTGTGATTGGCTGAATGTGAGGTTGAAGCTTGCTTTCGGAGCGTGTGATTGGCTGAATGTGAGGTAGAAGTGCGCTTTCGGAGCGTGTGATTGGCTGAATATGAGATAAAAGTGTGCTTTCGGAGCGTGTGATTGGCTGAATGTGAGGTAGAAGCGTGCTTTCGGAGCGTGTGATTGGCTGAATGTGAGGTAGAAGAGTGCTTTCGGAGCCTGTGATTGGCTGAATGTGAGGTAGAAGAGTGCTTTCGGAGCGTGTGATTGGCTGAATGTGAGGTAGAAGCGTGCTTTCGGAGCGTGTGATTGGCTGAATGTGAGGTAGAAGCGTGCTTTCAGAGCGTGTGATTGGCTGAATGTGAGGTAGAAGCGTGCTTTCAGAGCGTGTGATTGGCTGAATGTGAGATAAAAATGTGCTTCCAGAGCGTGTGATTGGCTGAATGTGAGGTAGAAGCGTGCTTTCGGAGCGTGTGATTGGCTGAATGTGAGGTAGAAGCGTGCTTTCAGAGCGTGTGATTGGCTGAATGTGAGGTAGAAGCGTGCTTTCAGAGCGTGTGATTGGCTGAATGTGAGGTTGAAGTGCGCTTTCGGAGCGTGTGATTGGCTGAATATGAGATAAAAGTGTGCTTTCGGAGCGTGTGATTGGCTGAATGTGAGGTAGAAGCGTGCTTTCGGAGCGTGTGATTGGCTGAATGTGAGGTTGAAGCTTGCTTTCGGAGCGTGTGATTGGCTGAATGTGAGGTAGAAGTGCGCTTTCGGAGCGTGTGATTGGCTGAATGTGAGGTAGAAGCGTGCTTTCGGATCGTGTGATTGGCTGAATGTGAGGTAGAAGTGCGCTTTCGGAGCGTGTGATTGGCTGAATATGAGATAAAAGTGTGCTTTCGGAGCGTGTGATTGGCTGAATGTGAGGTAGAAGCGTGCTTTCGGAGCGTGTGATTGGCTGAATGTGAGGTAGAAGTGTGCTTTCAGAGCGTGTGATTGGCTGAATGTGAGGTTGAAGCTTGCTTTCGGAGCGTGTGATTGGCTGAATGTGAGGTAGAAGTGCGCTTTCGGAGCGTGTGATTGGCTGAATATGAGATAAAAGTGTGCTTTCGGAGCGTGTGATTGGCTGAATGTGAGGTAGAAGCGTGCTTTCGGAGCGTGTGATTGGCTGAATGTGAGGTAGAAGTGTGCTTTCGGAGCGTGTGATTGGCTGAATATGAGATAAAAGTGTGCTTTCGGAGCGAGAGCGAGAGAGAGAGAGAGAGAGAGAGAGAGAGAGAGAGAGAGAGAGAGAGAGAGAGAGAGAGAGAGAGAGAGAGAGAGAGAATGAAGAAAATAAGAGACTCTTTATTCTGTAAAGTCACATCATCTTCATAAGCAAATAAAACAGACAGAGGAAGAGAGATCTTCATCTTTATTTATGTTTTACGATAGAAGTTTTAGGCTCGATCACACCAAACGCGTATTTCAGGTTTGAAAACGCGAGGTGCAAACCAGAACTAGTTCACACAGAACAGCAGTGCGCTGCGTTTTTTATGTTGCTAGGCAACCACCGAAACAGCTGTCCTGTCAGTCAAGTCAACGTCAAATCAGTTAACCAGCGCCCCTATTTTTGAGAATTTTCTGAAAACGACATACCCAAATACAAATGTCTGTAGATCTTAAACCATATGGTCCACATTCATAACTCTGATATTTATTTAAACTAGAAATTTCGCCGAGTTACAGATCATCTTCTGTCGCGTTTCAGAATGAACTTCACATTGAGAGAGATGGCAGAACGCGCATCATGTTAATTTTTTTGTTTATTTTACGAAAAACACAACATTTTGTTTTTATTATGAGTGTACACAAATAAAAGACATTTAACAGTTTTGAATGATGTACTTGAAACTTGAAAGTTTCAAGCATCACTTGAAACTGTGTTACCCAAGAGTCATAATAACTCAAAGTAGCATATGAACAGAGTAAATCAAGGTAAAATTTACATGAAAGTGACTCACGATTTCTTTGAATGAACTTCATTTAAGGAAAAATTGATCAGACTTTTATGTTAAAGGCCTGAAAACACCATAAAGATAAAACTGAATGTCTGACCATGTTTTGATCCAAATTTGAAGATGATACTCCCAAAAATGTAGTTTCTGTAAGCTTTTATTCAAGAAAAGTCTAGGCGTCCTTTCCAAAAGGCCATTTGGAGACTCCACCTGGTAACCAAATGCCATAAGGAGTAAACACTACATACTACATGTATATCAATTCAGAACTGTTCTGCCCATAAAACCACACAAGAAAAAACGATTTCAGCACAACATTTTAACTTTAACAAAAAATACTTTATTTTGAATAATTCTAATAGCAAAAAAAGTGAAACCAAAATACTCACATTACAAAAATGATTGTTTTACAACTAATTGATAAATTATATAAAAATAATAAAATAACATTTGTAATTGCAACAGTGGTTTTTACTCAAATAAATTACAATAAACTGATCAATTATAATGAATATACAATTACTAAAAAAAAGCAATTACAGTATTTACAGTCTAGGAAGACATGTGGATCAAGGCAGTCACTACCAAGGTTTGTTCTCTAACCAACTGGAAACCAAAGCCACTGAAAGACAGGAAAGATAAAGTGTGTAAGCAGAACAAATAAAATTGCAACACTGTGTATGCATGTGCGAGTACATCTCCTCATCTGCCGAATCGACGCTCGACACCGTGCACTGATGCATCTCTCAGCGTCTTTCTGCTGCTCTTCATCGCTGCTCCTCATCACCTCCTCCAAAACACTCTCAACACCACACAAACTCTTCTTTAGTCGACGATCCATGATGTAGATGATCAAATATGACGTTGGAGAAAATCCGTGCGTTGAAACATGCTCCGTGTTGCAAAGGAATGACGAATCTGTGCGCGCTGTGCGTAAAATGACGAAAGCGCACGAGGGCACGCACTTGTGTTTGACAAATCTGCTTACGTAATCTAAGCAAACTGTCAATCACTCTAATCGTGTTTTGGTTGGTTAACCCTCTGGGGTCGGCGGTCGCGATACCAGCTCGCTTTTTTTCTTATCAGTGCAAAATAGACTCAAAATACTCTGTTGATTTTGATCTTACATATAAGTGTTATACATCATTCAAAACTGTTAAATGTCTTTTATTTGTGTACACTCATAATAAAAACAAAATGTTGTGTTTTTCGTAAAATAAAGAAAATTAACATGATGCGCATTCTGCCGTCTCTCTCAATGTGAAGTTCTTTCTGAAACGCGACAGAAGATGATCTGTAACTCAACGAATGTTTGTCACACAGACTTGAATCGTATGTCTTTACAACGCTTGGAGTCTCTATTTTTAAATGATGTAAATTATATAAAAAACAAATATTCTATGTTTAAGTTATCCATATGAAAGCAGCGACATGTACAGTTTTTCAAACGCGTCCTAATTAACTCTAATGTGACCACACCCACGCGAGCCTCACTGAGCCACGCCTCAGTCTTTCTTAATTGGGGACACTTAATATACATATAAAAAATACATGATGCCGAGTGCCTGCATACACTTTGCATCATGGGCTAATTTGAGTTACAAATCGCCACAAGCCTTCTTCAGCATCTCCCTGAATACTCAGACCAAGGCAGAAACCTCTTTTCAAATGTAAACATGAGTTCACAGTGGGAATTTGCATTAATCACCGTCCCAGACTTACTGGGGACAGACGTTGATTTACATGGGGGCACACACACAGCAGTTAACAAGATATCTCTAAACTCTCCACACCTTATTACCTTTTTGGTTTACTTCTGTGGGAATGAGACCTTTGTACCATTTGAGACATTTCAAATGATACCAAACATGTACAGTATTTTTCCATCAAAGTGCATCCATCCATGATAAAAGTGCTGCACACGGCTCTGGGGGGGTAATAAAAGCCTTCTGAAGTGAAGCGATGTGTTCGTGTAAGAAAAATATCCTTATTTAAAGGTGGGGTATGTGATTTACAAAACGGCCGGCAGATTTTGAAAATACACAACTCAAAAGGTCCTACCTTCTTTCCTCCAACGCTGGCCCTGACTCCACCCATTCGAAGAACATGGACGCGCAATCATGCATCTGCAAAACTCAGATGCGCGAGATTGCACTTACTCTCTCTCTCTCTGTACCGGGGCGACTGGCATGTGACTGGGTGACGAGCTTTGAGTATGCGGACGAAGGGGACACGCGCGAGGGGGATGGGGGAGGGGGGTATGGGACAACCGTTTGATTGACGCACTTACTGTCCAATGATTCTAGGTGGTCTTGGAAATGATTGGCTGGAGTTTTTCGAGTCCTGCCCGTTCCACAGATGATTAAATTGCTTAATTTTCATTTCAGTGCTTCTAACTCAGTGGCTGTAAGTGGGTTAGGAATAGGATGTCAAGTGATTTTGAAAAAATGGTCAAAAAAGAAAATCACATTCCCCACCTTTAAAATTTTCTCGACTAAAATAACTAGCTTCCGGCCTTTATTAAACCCCCAGAGCCATGTGGAGCACTTATTTTACAAGAAAAGATATTTGCCAATGACCCTCAGGATCTGTAGCTCTTATTCTGATATGTAAAGTTAGATCTTTCCTTTTCTTGGAACAAAATGAATGCTTAATGTCACTTCAATATTTCTAGATGAAAAAACACAACAACAATAAAATAGCACAATGACAGGATTGATATGGTATACCCACGTTGTAACAAATAAATAAAAGATCTTTGAATTTTTCACAAAAGTTCTCTGGCGCTTTTGCCTCCGGCATCGTCCTGTCAGTCATCACACCTCACTCTAGTCATGTGACTCCTGTGTCTCAACTTACCTCAGTATCTCCAATTTACACTTTATATTCTTCAGTCCAGTGCAGATCAGCTTCACTCCTGAATCCTGCAGATTATTATTGTTCATGTTCAGCTCTTTCAGATTGGTATCGGATCCAAGAACTGCAGCCAGATCTGAACAGCTTTTGTCTGTTAAGTTACAATCATTTAACCTACAATAAAGTCACAACACAGAATTAGATGGAACACATACAATACATTTTCTATATACAAATATTAAATACATTTTCCATTTATTTTTTACATAAACATCATATACAGCAAAGAGGCTGAGTTAAACTAACATTTATCTTCAAAAGGTACTATTTACTGTGCATTAGTGTTTGTTATTCAGTGACAAATTTCCTAGATAAAATGAAGCATGTTTGAAAAAATATTTGTGTAAAGCTTTAATAGCTATATGATTTTTTTTCTATTTATGTCACCTGATGGAGTTAAGGTTATTGCCACTGTTTCCTCTGTCTTGCTTAATTGGGGGACACTTAATATTCAACAATATTATTGACTTGACTGCACCGACACCATTATATGAGACAGTTCACACTTTATGGCAAGTTAAAGGCCTTTCACTATAATACTAAAACTGCCTCCATTCACATGTACTTGTCTTTTTGACATAACATATTTAATGATTGAAATAAAGCTACGATTACTTAAACCTAAGAACCTAAGAAATTGTATTTGTTTTTAATATTTCAAGATTAAGGTCAACCGATGGCTGATGCCAATATATTGAGAGCAGGGTGGCCAATGGGTGATATATCATTAATTTAAAGATAGTAAAGAAGCATCCATGACAATTGCTGAAATTAAATTTATAGTTATTTTACTTAATTACTAAATTAGAAAAAATATATTTTTAAAAAAAGATATGAAAAAAAGATATTTTGAATGATAAAAAAATGTAAAAAAAAATTGTAGAAAAACCATCTGATGTGTACATTAAATATGATACAACAGGCTTTTGATAAATGTTTATTTGTAAATCTCTCGATCTACATATTGCATTACATTATAATTACATTAAACTACAGAATTACTCATATAAATAAGCATTTTAAATATCTAATTACTGGGAGAAACAGAGGGACAACTAATATATGACGTGGTAATATATATGTACTTTATTTAAGTAGCCTGTTTTATAAAAATCTCAATGTTTTATACTATAACCTTTCAGAATTTCATCTTACTTGTTGGCAATTTTAATAACATCTGTATCAAATTACATTTTTCCCCCCCAGTTTGGGTATATTAATAAAATATATCCTTTCTTTCTTCCTAAAGTATGAGTATGTGATAATATATATATATATATATATATATATATATATATATATATATATATATTATCACATACTCATTCCTATATATATTCATATTCATATTCATTCACATTCATATATATATATATAAATCATAGTCATATAAGTCATACAAGTCTGGTGTATCATATGATACAAACCAATCATGCAAACATTTTTACTTGGTATTTTATATTTTGTCTTAAGTTGTGATAAACTGTCTACACACACACACACACACACACACACACACACACACACACACACACACACACACACACACACACACACACACACACACACACACAAAAGGCTTTACAGGTATAGCTTCATGTTTATGATGGGGAATCACTATAGAGTAATGTAGATAAATGCATTTTTCAGATGAGAGCTAAACATGACAAAATATATTAAAAGACTTACAGGGCTGTTTTGGAGGTTTTGATGACTGCCGATAATCTAATGAGACACTCGTCTGATTTCTTGAATTTCTGAAGCTCAAACTCCTCCAGCTCTTCCTCTGATGTCAACAACACAAAGGCTAAAGCAGACCACTGGGCAGGTGAAAGGTCACCAGATGAGAGACTTCCTTTGCTAAGGTGGATCTGAATCTCGTTCACCAGAGTTTGGTCGTTCAGTTCATTCAGACAGTAGAACAGATTGATGGATCTCTCTGCAGGAAGATTATCTTCTAGTTTCTGCTTGATGTACTGAACTATCTCCTTGTTGCTCTGGTCAGTGCCGTCTCGCTGTGTCAACAGACCTCGTAAGAGTCGTCGATTGGACTGGAGTGACAGACCGAGGAGGAAGCGAAGGAAAAGGTCCAGGTGTCCATTGTCACTCTCCAGCGCCTTGTCCACTGCAGTCTTGAGAAAATCAATCATGGTTTCATTTCTGTTTTCCTGTTCTGTAGACTCATGATCAAACACACTTGTCTTGTTGATGTCTAGAAACAGATGTGCATAAAGGGCTGCAATAAACTCTTGAATGCTCAAGTGAACAAAGCAGTACATGGTACCAAGAACGATCCCTGTTTCCTCCTTAAAGATCTGGGTACACATGCCGGAGTACACTGATGCCTTATAGACGTCAAGACCACAGGCTTCCAGGTCTGTGTCATAGAAGATCAGGTTGTTTCTTTCCAGCTGATGAAATGCCAGTTTCCCCAGTGAAAGGATGGCGTCTTTATCCCAGGAAACATCTGGTGTGTATTCTCCATCATATTTCCGGCGGCTCTGCTGGATCTGAAAGCGGAGAAAGTGTGTGTACATTTGTGTCAGAGTCTTGGGAGTGTCTTCAGTGTTTGATTCCTGCAGTGTTTTAGAGATCTCATCAGCCTGAGTGTTTTTCACATCATTATTTCTCTTCTCCTCCAGAATGTTCTGGAGAACAGTGGCTGAAATCCAGCAGAAGACTGGGATGTGGCACATGATAAAGAGACTCTTTGATTGTTTAACATGATCTATGATTGTGTTGGCTTGAATATCATCCTTGAATCTTTTTTTGAAGTACTCTTGCTTTTGTGCGTCGCTGAATCCTCGTATCTCTGTCAGCCGGTCGATACAGTCAGGAGGAATCTTACTGGCAGCTGCTGGTCTGCTGGTGATCCAGACGAGAGCAGAAGGAAGCAGATTTCCCTTCATGAGGTTCGTTAGGAGAACATCCAGAGAGGCTGGTGACGATACATCACGCCACGTCTCATTACAATAAAACTTCAGGGGAAGGCGACATTCGTCCAGTCCATCAAGGATGAACAGCACTTTGAACTGATTCCTTCTTGTAAGGTTCAGTCCTTTTGTCTCTGGGAAAAACTGAGTTATAAGGTCCATCAAACTTAGTTTTTCTTTCTCCTTTAAGTTCATCTCTCTGAATGGAAGAGGAAATATGAAGCTGATATCTTGATTTTCTTTTCCTTCAGCCCAGTCCAGAACAAACTTTTGCACAGAGACTGATTTCCCGATGCCAGCGACTCCTTTTGTCAGTACAGTTCGGATCTCCTCGTCTTGTTCAGGCGCTTCAAACAAATGTGTGCATTCAACCTGTATCTCTTGTGCTTCATGACGTCTGGAAGCAACTTCAATCTGTCTCACCTCATGTTCAGTATTGACCTGTTCACTGCCACCCTGAGTGATGTAGAGATCTGTGTAGATGTTATTCAGGAGTGTGGAGTCACCTTGCTTCGCTATTCCTTCAAACACACATTGATACTTCTTCTTTAGGCCACATTTCAGCTGATGAATGAGGAACAGCTCATCTAAACACAGGAACAGAAAATAGATAGTTTTAGTCTTCATTTTCTCTCCTACATTTATAAGAGACAATCAGACAGATGATCACGAGTCTCTTGCCTTCTAGAGCATCAGCAGCTTCATCTTGCTTCATCTCTCTCAGGTAATGTAGTGTGAGATCAAGAGCTGCTGATTTGATACTGGATCTGTTCTCATTAAAGTCCTTCACAAAGTGTTGTGTGTTCTCATGTTGTAATATTTTCTTTAACTTCTCCAGTTCATTCTTCAGAAATGTGATTATTTTGCTCTCAAGATCATACAAACAAAAGTAAGAGAAAAGACAGAATAACACAATTTAAGCCAAATTGTACATCTACATTTGGTCAACACTATTTAATAAATAATTATAATACATGTACATAAAATAAAAAATCCAGTTAAAAGACTAACATGCTGACCAAGTTGTGCAAAAATGTGTTGAAAAGGAAAAAAAAGGAGAGGAAGAAAAATGTAATTAAATTTCTTTGTTCAATAACATATTTGTTTATTACATATTTATAAAAGGGTTTTCCTACCTGGAAGATCCCAAGAAGATTGTCTTTGAAATTCTCGTGGTTCCTGTGAGTCTGAAGGTCTGAGTCTAATGTCTCATATTGAAGCCTGTAATCACATTAGTAAAATAAAATACTAACTGATATTTTACAGAAAGAGAAATAAGCATTAGCTGTGAATACTCTGACAAATATTTGATCTAAACATGTTTCATGATTGGTATTCACAGATACAACTTTTAAACACAGTAAACGCGTGACAAAAAATTTGTAACACAAAATACCTTTTATTAGATGATGGTGTTTTCTCACTGAAGTTTGGTGGAAGTCCATCTTTAGACCAATCACTCTTCAGAGACACAGAGCTGGACACATGTGAGCCTGATCTTACACTGATGACACAAAGAACAGAGAGAGGGAGAAAACACTTTACTACTGGAGATACTTTAGTCTAATTTGAAAAAGTTTAATGTTGCAATAGTTATCAAATGCAGTATAGCTGTGTGGCTGCCTGTGTAACTGTGTTACTGGAGTGAGTTTCATAAATCCCCTTACACAGATACCCAGTTCAATCACACACACCACTGTGGACAAATAATACAACCCTATAAATGTAATGTAAACACACAAAATACCTTTTATTAGATGATGGTGTTTTCTCACTGAAGTTTGGTGGATCATCTTTAGACTGATCACTCTTCAGAGACACAGAGCTGGACACATGTGAGCCTGATCTTACACTGATGACACAAAGAACAGAGAGAGAGAGAAAACACTTTAGTAAAGGAGGATCAACTGTGTCTGAAACACATCTGTGTCGTTATCTAATCCTCCACAGAAACACACACACTCACACAATTTACAGTTTTATAGTTAACCATAATTTTATTTTACTGGCTCACATTAGTTTAACAATTTCTTTAATAAACATGAGTGAGATTAAACATGTTAAAAAATACTTTAATTTAAGAGAACATTTCTAGTGTTTGTTTATTGACAGAAATGGAGAGCAGAAATGTCTGTGCAAAATGATTAAATTGAATTAAATTAAGTATAGTTGTTTCCTAATGTCTATCAATAATTTTATGATTTAATCTAAAGTCATTTATTTGGATTAATTCAGCATCTAGAAGGTTATTAACAAATTATTAACTGTGATATTTTCTATAGAGCAAGCAGGACTTTATAGACAATGTCACAGTGTCAGTTGTGCAAAGCATTTGTAAATATAAAACAATGCTTAAGAGTTGTGTTATTGACAGGAAAACACAAAGTCCAGTGGAGTTTAAAGTGAGAGTGTGAAACAGACACAGTCTCACCTGTGTTTCTCTGAGAGACTCATCTGAGAGAGAGAGTCCTTTCCTCTTTCCTCTGACATACTGCAGCTAAACTGACCCTGAAAACTGATCAGCACTGCTTTCTGAAAACACTCAATCCTTCAGCATCACCTGCAAATCACAACATTTACACACATCAACAACATCTTATTGAAGACAATATGTGATGTGGAGAGAAGGACGATCCAAAGGCGAAATGCAGCAGTCTTTAATAAACAGAAAATGCTGTCCAGAGGATTTTAGAACTGAAAGCTCAATACTAAATGTAACTGAGAGCTGGTAGTCAACGAGGTACGACAATCACGGTCAATCAGAATGACCAAGTTAACCACTCAGGTAAGGGTTAACTGAACCAAACTGACTTGTGAAAGTTTTCACAAATCAGAATGACCAAGTTAGCACTCAGGTAAGGGTTAACTGAACCAAACTGACTTGTGAAAGTTTTCACAAATCAGAATGACCAAGTTAGCACTCAGGTAAGAGTTAACTGAACCAAACTGACTTGTGAAAGTTTGCACAAATCAGAATGACCAAGTTAACCACTCAGGGAAGAGTTAACTGAACCAAACTGTCCTGTGAAAGTTTTCACAAATCAAGCTTAATCTAAAACAAGTGTTTCTGTAAACCAGCGGTGTGTGTGTTTTTTATAATTTGGTATTATACATTGTTAAACATGAAAAACGCCTATTTTCCACATTCCGGTCTAGCGGACTTAGCGAACAGTTTACAGACAAAAGCTTTGCTGTGAAAAAATTCACAAATCTAGAATGTCAAGATGACACTGGGTTCAGGTTTCTAAGTGAAAAAATTCAGAAGAAAAAAAACCCCCAGATTTCGGACAGGAGTAATCCGTTACACGAATTCACAAATCAAGAATATCGAAATGAGATATTATTTGGATGTCTACGACACCGCACGGCGGGACCACAGCTAAAATAAATCAGAATATCAAACCGCAAACTACCTTTACTCCGGACATATGCCATGCATTTTACAGTATAACGCCTATCTTTAAATGGACAGTTTCCGGTAAAATCACAGATCTATGGGTCCAGGCAGACTTTCAATGTATAGCAGAGAGGAGAAAAGAGAAAATATAAAACAGAGGAGGAGGGATGAAGGACTTCCTCCTTCATTAACGCTTCCATGAAAATAATTTGCCAACGTGGCAGAAAGAGCTGGATCATGGCTGAGACAAAGGAATATATTTCTGACACTACTGTATGTCTGCTTCAGAAAAACGTTCGATTTCACATCACAAAAACAACAGCCTAACAGGGAAGTTTTTTTTGACAAAAACAAACAAATTTTGTTTTTAATAAACCCTTTATCAATAAAATTTCCTGTTTTTACTTTAAAAGATTGTAATTTCTGGCAGATTCTTCTTCTGTTCGGAGTAGCAGAAGAACAGCCTTCTGTAGTAACTTCACATTTAGGCTAAATATCGCTTAATATACCATATGAAATTCCTAAGAATTATAAATGACTTTAATGTAGAATGTATTAAACTTACTTGCAGTCTTGTCCACTAAGAAGAGAATTTATCAGTATTTTAAACTCAGTAACGCTTGTTGTCAGTCCGCGCGCGTCGTTCTCAGAATCTCTTGCTGGTCTCGATGGATTGTGGATTAAACACATAAATGGCCGCGAGTGTTATTAGATTTGGTAGACATTGTGCTCAGTGGCGTCATGCCCATTCAAAGTGAGGGGGCACGTGCCCCCTCAGATTTTTCCTCCCTAGGGTGACCAGAAGTCCCGAAAAATTTGGGACAGTCCCGAAATCTAAGCTGTTGTCCCGAATCCCGAAACCGGCCTTAATTGTCCCGAAAATTATACTAAAGCAAAATCTTGATATAAAATATTAAAAACTGTCCGTGGAAGTTGAGTCGTCCTGCAGCCAGCCCCTTCCAATTGCAGCAGCCGCGAGGACAGTGAATGTGCAGGCAGCCAGTCTAAACTTTAGTTTTTTTACGCGCGTCATTTGCTCTTGACGCGCGAATGGATTCAAAGTGTTCACGCGTAGGCTATAACTAGACGCGGATAACTACACCATACTATACAGCTATATTATATCTACTGTGTTTGATGTCTAACAGGAAAATTATGATACCACTGAGCTGAATGGCAGTGCAAGACCGAACAAACACTGATGAACTTGCGAATAAAAAGACTGATAAAGTGATTTTCATTGACCAAATATAATTTTTTAATTGACACCAGAGTTTAAGAGGCACACAAACTACAGCATATATAATTTAAATTAAATAGAACAAATAGAATAACATTTAAATAAAATATTATATAAAATAATAAATAGAACATTTAAAATGTTTGAATTTTCAAATAAAATAAATTAACAATAACATCTAAAACACCACAAAGAAGATCAATAGTAACAATAACAAGAATAAGGTAACATTTCAATAGAACTATTAAAATCCAAACTTGTGTATTTGTGTGCGCGCACACGCATGCATGGTCTTCTTGGGAAAAAAGTAATTCGCTAAAAATGCCTTCCCCTCAGAAGTTCTTCAAATCTGTGATGCTATGCATCAATTTACTCATTCCTCAAAATTGTTCTCTTCTGGCCTTCCTGGATGCAAAGTCATTTATAACCTCATCATATGAGATTTGGCTGCCTATCTGGTGATTGATGCTAATCATTGCCATTCCGCTCAGGCGTTCCTGACACATGGAGGACCTCAGGAAGGTTTTTATGAGTTTTAGCTTAGAGAAGCTTCTCTCTGCAGTTGCCACTGTCACTGGAAGAGTGCAGGCTATCCTCAGCGCTACCCAAAGATTTGGGTATAACTCACACAGCCCCCTTTCATGTATATGAATAAGTAGCTCCAACGCTGTCGTGACTTCTTTGGGTAGTTCTGGAAGGCTCTGCATCTCCATGGCTAGCTCTCTCCAATCAATATCTGCCTCTTCTCCGCAGGTGAGTGTTTTTCCGAGCTGGGCACATTGCTCTTTGAGTAACTCTTCATCCAGTTTGTGGAAGTTCAGGAGCACTCCGAATTTATCTTTTACTTACCCCATTGACTTGAATCGGTTCTCCAAAGACTGGATGCTTCAATCCACCACAACATTGAAAAATCCTATTTCCAGTCTCTTCATTGCAGTGGTCACTACCTCGTCAGCTGCCTCATAGGTAAAGTGCTTCTTTGTACTTCGCAGCCTCTTCTCTTTC